AACTTTGACATCTTTCTCACTCGAAAGCACGCGGAAATAAGGCTGAAAGCTATTGATACTTGGGTGTTTCCCGGCTATGTCCGTGCTCTCTTCTAGGTGCAGTATCTGTGTCGAAACCAAAATCCTGCAGTGAATACACACTCAGACGTAGACAAGTAGACGTGAGGGTGTTTAGGGAAATAGTGTTTAGTTATGGCTATGCTCAAGCGTATGGTTGGCAGTATTTCAGCTCGGGTGGAGTCCCGAACGGCACCCGGGTAACACACCGTCCAGCCCCATTTCCCTGCACTTTTGAGCGGAAAAGTGGTAATATGGCAAGGATCGACGAAGGTGAGCACACAGCGCGCATTTACAATAATAGTAGAAAAAAGTTCACGTAATAACCTTTATTTTCAACACTGTTCACACTACAAATTCAATTCAAACTGGAATAAATACAAAGTCAATACAGAGAAGCCCATGCAGGACCACCAATATGGCATACAGCGTATGAGCACGTTCAAAGAATTGTCGTCTAATGGAGCAGACTACTTGAAATCCTCCGGATATCTGTGCTTGCACGGATTCCGCTGGATCAAATTCTTAAGAAATGACTAGACAGCTCGGTTGAATAATGCGAGACTTTGATATATGGGAAATTCTTATAATACGGTAGAAGATGCAAAACGACACGTTTGACCTATGAAATACGATGTATGATGTACAAATACCCTTTTGCTCCGTCTTACTTCCCTGTGTTCGTCACGTAATGTATAGACTCAAACCACCGATTAGGCTGGAATCGATTCCAGAATGCTGGTCCTGAAAACAATGAATGAGTTAAAGGCCAAACCCGCGATCATTCGCCATCACAGATAGTGGATTAGGGATTCGCATGTAGATGACAAGGTGCTGAGTAACTCGACAGTGAAGATAAAAAAAAAGCAGAAAACATGTCAACTGCTCCTAGATAGAACCCCATTTTCCCAGTTTGTACGTGCCCAGTGAACTCCATCTCCAACACTACGCCCTCATCCGCACAGCTGATTCCCCGATAAGAACTCTACGACCGTACAAGTGACGATTTTCATGCTTTTTCGTCCTGCAGCTTCGTTTTCACTGAAAGGCGGGCCTTGAAGGCGGAGTCTGGAGGCGGAGTCACTGGAAAAAGGAGGCGTCACTGAACCTATATTGCGTAGCGGTATCGTCCCTCCCTTACAACGTGGGCCACACTAGCCTACCTACGCCATAATTTCAACTTTTATACCTGATCGCGGACCGAGCCTTCAAAATGAGGGAGAACCCTGGTCAGGGTACACACTTAATTCACTTACAGGAGACTCTTAGAGACGGAAAACGAATTTTATAGAGGTTTTTCCCATGGCACTAAAGGTAC